TTTTCTGCTATCTTTCTGTTATGAATTTCCTGTTGTATTCCATTTTCATCAAAAATTATATTCTGCAATTTTAAAGATTTAATTTTAAGGTTTCTATTATGACTCAGGATATGTTTTATCTTGCTTAACGTTCCATGGGTCCTTGAGAAGAACGTGTTTTCTCCTGTTATCTAGATAGAGTGCTCTATAAATGTCATTTCAATCTCACTGGTTGATGGTGCTGTTCAGTTCTTCTATATCCTTGCTGACTTTTTGTACAGTAGCCTATCAATTGGTAACTGTGGAAAGTACAAGTCCCAACTATAATTGTAAATCTGTCTATTTCTATCCTCAGCTCTAACAGTTTCTGCTTTGTGTATTTTGAAATTGTATTTTGGTCCAAACACACTTAGGATTATAATGTTCTTCTATGGGAGTGATCCTTTTATCATTATGAAATATCCCTTTCTTTGTCTCTAGTAATTTTCTTTGCCCTGAAGAAGACTTTATATGATATTAATATAATCACTCCTACTTTAAAATTAATGTTAGCATTGTACATATTTTCCCCATTTTTTTACTTTCAACATATCTGTCATTGTATTTCAAGTGAGTTTCTTTTCTTTCCTTTTTTTTTTTTTTTTTGAGATGGATCTCGCTCTATTGCCCAGGCTGGAGTGCAGTGGTGCAATCTCAGCTCACTGCAACCTCCCCCTCCCAGGTACAAGCGATTCTCCTGCCTCAGCCTCCCAAGTAGCTGGGACTACAGGCATGTGCCACCACGTCCAGCTAATTTTTTGTATTTTTAGTAGAGACAGGATTTCACCATGACTGCCAGGATGGTCTCGATCTCCTGACCTCGTGATTCACCCACCTTGGCCTCCCAAAGTGCTGAGATTACAGGCATGAGTCACTGCGCCCGGCCTCAAGTGAGTTTCTTATAGTCATCATATGGTCATATGGTTGGATCATGTTTGTTTTGAGTTTTTTTTAATCCGCTCAAACAATCTCTGCCTTTACATTGGTGGTCTTCAGAACACTTAAATTTCAGGTGATATGTTTTGGTTGTGTCTCACCCAAATCTCATCCTGAATTTGAGCTCCCATAATCCCCACATGTCATTGGAAGGACCCAGAGGGAGTTAATTGAATCATGAAGGTGGGTTTTTCCCATGCTGTTCTCATGATACTGAACAAATCTCATGAGATCTGATGGTTTTATAAAGGGCAGTTCCTCTGCACATGCTCTCTTGCCTGCCGCCATGTAAGACGTGCCTTTATTCTTTCTTTGCTTTCCGCCATGATTGTGAGGCCTCCCCAGCTATGTGGAACTTGGGTCCATTAAACCTCTTTTTCTTTATAAATTAACCAGTCTCAAGTATGTCTTTATTAGCAGAGTGGGAACAGACTAATACATAAGGTGATTAATGATATATTAAAACTTGAGTCTGCCAATTTATTTTTTTCCTATTCATCCTCTTTCTAATTCCTCTGTTTCTCATTTCTTACCTTCATATGAGTTACTTAAGAATAACTCTCTGTATTGTTTTCTTAGTGGTTGCTCTAGGTATTAAGATATAAATATGTAATTTATTACTGTCTACTCATATCAGTATTTACCATTTCCACTTAAGTATAGAAACCTTCTATTTAGGTCCCTCTATCCTTCACACTTTTAAAATATAATTGTCTTAAGTATTCCATCCATAAACATTGGGTATCACATGAGATGGTATTACAGTTTTGCTTCAACTATCAAACATAATTTAAGAATTGCCTGACAATTAGGATACTCTAATTGTAATTTTCTTACTCATTCCAATGTTCTTCTCTCCTTTCTGAATTTCCAAGCTTTCTTTTATTTCTTTTCTGTTTAGAGAATTCCCTTGAGACATTATTTAAGGGTAGGTTTTACAAGCAACAGTTTTACAGTTTTCCTTTCATTGAGAATGCCTTTATTTCTCCTTCATTCCTGACAAATATTTTCACTGGATATAGAATCCTGGGTTGGCAGTTCTTTTCTTTCAGTATTTGAAAAATGCTATGCTACTTACCTCTTGTCTTCATGATTTCATGTGAGAAATCTATGTAATTCAAATTCGTGTTCCATATAAGCAACGTGTCCTTTCTCTCTGGCTGTTTCAATATTTTTTTCTTGTCTATATTTTTTATGTGTCTTGGCATGGATTTACATAGGTTTATTCTATTTGGAGTTTGCATAACCTCTTGAATATGTATGCTTATGCCTTTCACCCAGTTTGGGGGAGTTTCCAGACAATACACCTTTAAATACCTCTTCAGTACCATTCTCTCTCTCCTCTCCTATGACTTCAATGTAATTAATGTTACATCTTTTGTTACTGTCCCTCAAGTCCCTGAGACTGTTCATTTTTTTCCAGTCTATTTTCTCTCTGTTGTTCAAATTGGGTAATTTCTATTGATCTGTCCTGAAATTCACTGATTTTATCTACTGTCATCTTCACTCTATTGAGCTGATCACTGAGCTTTTATTTGGTGGTTGTATTTCTCAGTTCAATAATTTCCATTTGGCTCTATTTTATAACTTCTATTTCTTTGAGAGATTTTCTACTGTTTCATTTGTTGCAAGAGAATTCCTAATTGCTTGTTAAAACAATTTTGTAATTCCAACATCCAATTCAGGTAAATACTGGCTTCTGTTGATTGTTTTTTCTCATTCATGTTGTGATTTTCCCAGTTCTTGGCATTTTAATTGCATTCTGGGCATTATGGATTTTATATTATGAGACTCTGGATCTGATTTCATCTTTTCTCTTAGCAGTCGTTCTAGGTGAGAGAAGGACCAAGAGGGTATGCGTGGGGCAAAAGATCAACTTCTAATTTGGCCCCACTGAAATCATGTAGGATTGGTTGTTCCATTGATGTTCAGCTGGAGTAGAAAAAGTGTTGTCACAAAGATTTTCTGTGGTCCTTTGGCTAGAAGGAACAAGATTTTCTGGGACTATTTTTTTTTTTTTTTAAATCTGTGCCTATTGTTGGTCCAGGTGAGAAGATTCTGGAATGCTCTATTCAGGATATATGGGAGTCAAACAGGAAAATCAAGGAACTTCCCTTTTGTCTTTAAGACCCAAAGCCCCTAGACATTTCATTTTCTCCTTTTCAAGTCTCCTTATACAGATTAAGCATCTTTAATCCAAAAATCCAAGATCCAAAATATGAAATTCTCCAAAATCTGAAACTTTTTGAGCACCAATATAATGCTCAAAGGTCATACCCAAAGGAAATGCTCATTGGAGCATTTTGGATTTCAGATTTTCAGATTAGGGATGCTCAACCAGTAAGCATAATGCAAATATTCCAAAATCTGAAAAATCAGAAACACTTCTAGTCCCAACCATTTTAGATAAGGAATACTCAACCTATACTTGTTTGTTGTGTTATGTCTAGGGCTTCTTAGTTATAAAGGTGAGGACCCAATTGGAATATGGTTACTCCATATTGGCAGAATAAGAAGTCCAGATTAGTTTTTAAATTCAAAAGTATTCCAGTCTTCAATATCCATAAATTCAAGGACAATTTAAAATTAGCCCATTTCCTCTAATGATTTTTTTTCATTCATAAAACTTCCTATTTCCAAAGATCATACTGTCCTTTGTTCCTCCGGGAAGCAATCTGAAGGAAGGCTTTGATCATTTAAGTGTCTGTTCTGTTTAACATTGCAAGCACCAGGATTGAACACCTATTTGAGGCTCTGGAGGATATTACAATATTACAATATTGGAATAGGGATGAGATCTTCACCTACACAATGGCCAAACGACGGGAAATTCTCTAGAAAAATGTGGCTATAGACTTAAGTCACTTTTCTTACCTTAGCCTAGACAATACCATGAATGAGCATTGTCAGGTTATACTTGTTCTTTGAACTTCAGTGTACTTGGTTCCTCCCTCCTAAATATGAAGCTTATCATGGTGCTTCTTTCCCCTCAAACTGAAGCCCAGCTATTAACTCTAGTATATTTTTTACTTTATACTTTGTGTTCCAACTGGAATGAATTTCTCCCAATCCTCTGTTGTTCACTTCCTCAAAGATACCCAAGTTAAGTGCTTCTACTACTTGCATCTAAGATAGCATCAATACAGTACGAGCCAGGGGATTTTCTCCAGCACATAGAATGTGCCTCACAAAAGCCTACCCTGGCCATTGCCCCCAGCTACCTCATGCAGGTCTGCTGTCCAGGGGAAGAGCAGCTCTGTGTGTCAGGTACAGAAAATCAACATGGCAATGGCAGCTGTGAGTCCCAGAAGCTGTGACATGGCTGCAGCCACAGCTAAACCTTCAAGTGAAATTTTCAACTGGCCCTGCAGTGGTGGTATAGTGGTGGTTGCGGTAGCTGTACCGACAAATTTAAAGGTAGCTAAAGGGAAACAGGATTTATTTTACAGAAGTCTACTTTAGAAATTTTCCTAGGATACTCCAAAACTGGAGGGGAAAACCTCTATCCCACTGTGTAAGATTCTCCTTTAACATATCTTCCTTTTGTTCCACAATATTGATGGAACAGGCAATGCTCCGCACATTGAGGATACAGTAGGGAGCAGACGGCATTCCTATCCTTGTAAGGCTTACCTTTAATAGCAGGCAAGTTACCCCAACAGTTATACCAATGACCATTTAATCAACTGTGAGAAGGACAAGGGAAATAACAAGTGGGTTCAATTTTCTTTGAAATCTCAGCAAGAGCCATATTCTTTTAAGAGTGTCAAAGTAAGCATCAAGCACACCATAGCACTGTGTTTATTAGAGTACAACGACAAAAAGTGGATGCAACTGTTTCAGAACTAGTAAGCCTCTGAATTCAATGTAATTATTTTAGTGCCATGATTTTCTTTGTGCCTCTTCATAAATATTCTACACATGGGGGCTCCAAGGGCCTCAATGAAAAGGCAGTGCATTCAATAAGACAGATTTATTGTAAAACAATCACTATGAGGGAGACAGGGGTGTACCATGACTGGAATGCTCCCCGCAGCTGCCCCTACCTCTTTGTTTGTCCTGTCGGCTTGCACCAAAGTTCCATTCAGGCAAGGTTCCACATAGTGAAGCTCCTCATTATACTGCAAAGGAAAAGAATCAAGAAGGAACACTTAATTAAGGAATTGAAGGGTACTTCTTAATAATTTAAGGAGATACGCACCCAAAAAGCAGCACAATCACAGGCTCCATTTGTTCACAGAAGGTGAACTCTCCCATGGGTGTCCCTCTAGACAACTATGATTATGTGCTACAGACTGAAGGAGAAACTTCTAGAGCACATGCTGGTAGATGGCAGGGTTCAGGGTGCACCCTTTTAACTGACCATTCTTTGGGGTTGCCTCCAAACACTGGCAGTTCCCTGAGCATGGTTAACAGCCCATGGTCCTGGTGGGAGCTGAAGAGCATCCCAGAGTTGCGTGGATACAGCTCCAGCTACTGTCTTTGGGTTCATGGAACCAAGGGACACATATGTGGCTTACACATGAGTGGGGACAGAATAAGCCTTGATGTTCCCTGGTCACTCTGCAAGGGTATGTGGGTGCTGATCAGGGCACTGTCCATGCACAATTTCCCATACATTGTCAACACCAGCACTCCCATCACTTCAATCCCAGAATATCCAGAATAGGACCTCCCTCCCTTTTTTTTTTGCCCAAAGCTCACAACCAGGTAGCAAAAATGTGAGTAGTCTCATCTTAATTTCTCTCAGCAAGCCTGCTTCTCTGCCCTGCAGGGAGGCTGGTCCTTACACATCTGATCATGTTGCCTCCTGTCAATCCCATTTACAGCTCCCATTGCTGTGCAGATGAATGTTCCCAAGGCTTTACAAGGCTCTGGACCCTTGGTCCTGCTGACACTCTAGCATCTTTACTCATCAGCCTTCCCCTAAAACTTGTCCTGGCCAGCCATTATTCCCTGCTGTCCTCTGACATGTCTCCTCTTTTCCTTCAGGCCCTCCAATGCTGGGACCCTTGCTTTGAGCTCTCACTCTGGCACCTCTTCTCTCTGGCTGACTCCTGTTCACCTCCTAGGTCAGATTATTCCCACCTCCTCTGGGAAGCAGCCTCTGGTGCAGGCTAGGCACCGGGTTAGGTCCCTCTTCTATATAATCCCTGTAAATTCTAATTATCTGTTGACCAGATTCCCCACCACAAAGTGGAATGACACCATTAGGGCCCATGCCTGGTCCTTCAGTGTATTTTCTGCAACAAGCACAGGGCTGGACCCACAGTAGGTGCTTGAGGACCATCTGATTGATGACAGTGTCATGGTATATCTACTTTAGCAGTCAGAGAGGCCCGGAGCTCCTGAGGGAAGAGAACAGAACCATCTCTCCCAGACCCAGCTAACTCTTGTGCAAAGTTGGCCTAGGGAGTTTGCGCTTTAAAACTAAAGTCAGCGAGGACCATGCAGGGCTATGAGCTAGGGAGTGAGTGAAATAAAGAGATGAGCTTGAGAAATCCCTCTGGATACACTGCAGGGACAGGTCAAAGAGGGGCTAGACCTAAAGCTGCTCAAGAACAACTGGGATGCATCAGGTTTCCCATGGAGAGAGCCTCACTAAGCAAGCAGGAGTGGTGATCATACTGACCTTGGCAATTAACTGTTATTGAGCACTTACTGCATCCAGGCAGCAGGTAAACTTCATCTGCAGGTTATCTTAGCATCATTTGGCAAGCACCTCCAATCACTCTCCCTTTACAGATGGGGAAACTGAGGCACGGCAAAAATGATCGACTTGCCCAAAGACACCAGAGAGTAAATGAGGGTGGTGGAGTCCAGATTCAAATCCAGGCAGTCTGACCTCACAGCCACTGACAACAGGACCTCAATGCCCCCAACTCATCCTCTCTGGCCCCCAAACCTCCAGATCTCCCCATCAGTCAGCCTTGTGCCCTTTCATCTTTGCTTTTAGTCATATAAAGAGCATTTGAAAAAATATCCCAATGGTTTGAGGGCTTAAATATCCTCTAACAAGGCATGGAGAAAAAAATATATTTATGACATTAGCCATTAAGAAATGGAAGTATGACTTTTAGTCAGCAAACAGAACATCATCTCAGGATCCAAGAAGCAACTGCACAGTTCAATATGAAGGAAAACTCCTCCAAAACTCTCAATCTCTGTTGGACTGACCCTGGAAGTTGCTGAGAAAACAGCCATTCCCTTCTCCTTCACTTCCCTTGCTGACTCATTTGGTTTAGGGTGACAGTACACTGATTTCTAAGGCCTGAACCACAGAGGGTCTTAGCCAGGCACAGACATCCAGTTCCCCTCTGTTGGACACAACCTCTCATAGCCTGCCTTGCAGTTAGGGGCAAATGATCATGACATAAGGAAAAGTTTGATGGGCAGATTCAATGAAATGTTTTCCTGCCATTAAGGGAAAACTCACCTATATCCACTCTTTTCTTCCTGCTTGGGATGCTATTGTGGAAGTGCTGCAGCCATTTTGCAACTATGAGGTTACAAGACAAAGAATGGAATGCAAAGCCCAAGGAAGACAGAGCAGGAAGATGGAGCCAGTGTGGGCTCCCGAAGACAACATGGAGCTACTGTGTAAAAGCTGCAGCCACCCTCCTCCAGGTTTCTTACATGCCATTATCAGATGTTTGTATGCTGAACCAACCTTTCCTCACCTGTTCTGTAACCTAGAGCCCAAAACTTTCCTGAGGTTCCCACCATGGTTTTACTTCCTCTCATTCTTCCATTTTGCAGGTAAACTGAATCACTTCATTGACATGCTACCTAATACACACTCTCAAAGTTGATTCCTGGGGTTGTACAGTTTGAGCTGGGAGTCAGGTCACTTGGGTCCAAGTCCTGTCTCTACTATGTACTCACTGTGTGGCCTTGGGGAAGTTGCTAAGCCACTCTGATCCCAGAATCTTATGCATAAGAAGATACTAATTTACCTTCTAGTCTCCCTCTGGGGGCCCCTGCAGAAACTGAGTGAGGCAACAGACCTGAAACTGCCTTGCTAATATAAAAGTCTATACTTGTGGGGGCTCCAGAGGGGATTTAAAAGTCAAGAAGACCAAGGAGTTCTTGACCTCATCAGGGAGGTACATGTGCAGTAATCAAAACCATGCTTGCCATGACTGTGTGTGCTATGGCCTCAGTGGAGGAATCCACTCTTCTGAATCCCAGCCAGCTTGTTAGTGGCATCATCCAAGCTTGCAGTTGACTAATTTCCCTTGACTGCATCAGGATAAAGCTATGCCGAGCAATCTGGTCTGTATCACCAGAGGGAGCCGGGCTCAGCCATGTGTGTAAGGGAACTGCACACCAGGCAGCTGTACCAAGGAGGCCTGCTAGCTGTGCATGCTCCTCTCACTACCCAACAGCTCCTCCCAAGGGGGACCCCAAGGATGCCCTGTACACGGAACTGCTTCCAGACTCCTCGCAGTCCTTTATTTGGAAATCCTTCAGCTTCTGCATTTTTATGTATGTTCTCTAGATTTCTATTTTGTGAAATGATGATGTGGAAGGGCCATATATATTTACAACTCAAGATTTGGTCACCTCTTGCCCTGAGACACAACAGCCTTATAAATAGCTCTCCTTGATCCCTAATGAAATAATCTGATATCAATAGTCTAAGGAAGAAAACGATACTATGTACATCATCACCAGTTAGATGCAATTTCCTTCTACAATTTGTTTTTACTCCCCTGCACTACCAGGATTGAACCCTAAAGAAGTACTTAACCTTTGCCCTTCCTGCCCAAGTGGTTAGTCCTTCTTGCAAATTTCTGGGAAATGGGAAGAGTCTCTTAGGGAGAGAGGAGTGGGCCCAGGTTGCCCTGGAAATGGGTCCAGTCCAGCCCACCAACCACATGGTGAGGAAATGGACACACGGCTTTCACCCTTTAAAGAGCTTAGAAGCTGCCACGTAGCACACAGGGACTCGGACGCTGTAGGCTTTCTTCTCCCTGCTTCCTTCCTGGTTGGCTTTCCTTTTCTGATTCTCACAAGGGTAGAACAGTAGAGCTAAAGCAACTGAGGCAGGCAGGCCTGGGTTCAAATCCTGACTCTGCCACATGCTTGCTGGGTGACCTTGGCCCCAGCTTTTGTGTTGGGGAAACAGGTATTCTAACTGCACCTCTCTCATGAGCTCACTGTGAGGATGAAATAACAGTCAACACAGAACCTGGCACATAAGAATGAGAAAGGCATCTAGGCGCATAGGCACAAATGCACAAAAAAGAAAGAGAATATATATGTGAGTGTGATGTGTGCTACATAGAGGGAAAGGCCAACAGATAACACCCTGCACCCAGAGCTGGAGTTTGCTATGAAGGAAGAAGGTGATGTCAGTGATGCAAAGTGACCCTTTCTTTGGAACAGGAGCATGTGTCCTTGGCCTTCTCTGGAGAGCAGGGATCTGCATTTGTTGGGGATAAGATGCCATGTCATCAGGCACATGTCACTGTCTACATACCCAAGACAAGCCCATGATGTCTGGCCACACATTGTCCCACTCTAAGCCACCCTCTGAATCCTCCCAGGGACCGGGGTCTTTGGCAGACAGGGAGCCAAGATGGTGCAGCCAGCTTACTGGCAAATCCCCATGTAGGAAGGCATCTGCCACAGAACTCTTCACGTCTTTATTTGCTCACTGAATTTACCCTAAGCACCTACTGTGTGCTGGGGACATAAAACACTGGCTAAGTTTGCTCATGATGATCATTGTAAAGTGACAACCATTTTTTTTCTTACTTTTCTTAGTAAAAGAGTATGTTCATTCCATCAGAACATAAGGTCTGTTTTTCCTTTTGTTTGTTTTTGTTTGTTTGTTTTTGAGATGGGGGTCTCATTCAGGTATCACCCAGGCTGGAGTGCAGTGGTGTGATCACAGCTCACTGCAGCCTCCACCTCCCAGGGTCAAGCAATCCTCCTGACTCAGCCTCCCAAATAGCTCGGACCACAGGCACATGCCACCACATCCAGCTAGTTTTTTTTATTATTATTTGCAGAGAGAAGGTCTCCCTATGTTGCCCAGGCTGGTCTCGAACTCCTGGGCTCAAGCAATCCTCCTGCCTCAGCCTCCCAAAGTACTAGGATTACAGGCATGAGC